GTGACACAGTGACACAGTGACAGTGACTCAGTGACAATGACAGACACTGTCCCCATGTCCCAGGATGTGTGGTGATGGTGGTGACAATGACACTGACACTGACCCTGTCCCCATCTCCCCATGTCACAGGCGGTGTGGTGATGGTGTGGTGACACTGACACTGTCCCCATGTCCCCATGTCCCCGTGTCACAGGCGGGGGGGTGATGGTGTGGTGACACTGACACTGACACTGTCCCCATGTCCCCGTGTCACAGGCGGTGTGGTGATGGTGTGGTGCTGATGGTGACACTGTCCCTGTCCCCATGTCACAGGCGGTGTGGTGATGGTGTGGTGACACTGACACTGACCCTGTCCCCGTGTCACAGGCAGTGTGGTGATGGTGTGGTGACACTGACCCTGTCCCTGTCCCCGTGTCACAGGCGGTGTGGTGATGGTGTGGTGACACTGACACTGTCCCTGTCCCCGTATCACAGGCGGTGTGGTGATGGTGTGGTGACACTGACACTGACCCTGTCCCCGTGTCACAGGCAGTGTGGTGATGGTGTGGTGACACTGACACTGACCCTGTCCCTGTCCCCGTGTCACAGGCGGTGTGGTGATGGTGTGGTGACACTGACACTGACCCTGTCCCTGTCCCCGTGTCACAGGCGGTGTGGTGATGGTGTGGTGACACTGACACTGACCCTGTCCCCGTGTCACAGGCGGTGTGGTGATGGTGTGGTGACACTGACACTGACCCTGTCCCTGTCCCCGTGTCACAGGCGGTGTGGTGATGGTGTGGTGACACTGACACTGACCCTGTCCCTGTCCCCGTGTCACAGGCGGTGTGGTGATGGTGTGGTGACACTGACACTGACCCTGTCCCTGTCCCCGTGTCACAGGCGGTGTGGTGATGGTGTGGTGACACTGACACTGACCCTGTCCCTGTCCCCGTGTCACAGGCGGTGTGGTGATGGTGTGGTGACACTGACACTGACCCTGTCCCTGTCCCCGTGTCACAGGCGGTGTGGTGATGGTGTGGTGACACTGACACTGACCCTGTCCCTGTCCCCGTGTCACAGGCGGTGTGGTGATGGTGTGGTGACACTGACACTGACCCTGTCCCTGTCCCCGTGTCACAGGCGGTGTGGTGATGGTGTGGTGACACTGACACTGACCCTGTCCCTGTCCCCGTGTCACAGGCGGTGTGGTGATGGTGTGGTGACACTGACACTGACCCACAGTGACACAGTGACAGTGACACAGTGACACAGTGACAGTGACAGGGTCACTGAGCTCACTGCCCTTCAACTGTACCCAGGCACTGCCTGTCCCCAAACCCATTGGTGAGTGACACTGACAGTGACAGGGACGCAGTGACACAGTGACAGTGACAGAGTGACACTGACAGTGACAGGGACGCAGTGACACAGTGACAGTGACTCGGTGACAATGACAGACACTGTCCCCATGTCCCAGGATGTGTGCTGATGGTGGTGACAATGACACTGACCCTGTCCCTGTCCCCATGTCACAGGCGGTGTGGTGATGGTGTGGTGACACTGACACTGACACTGTCCCCATGTCCCCGTGTCACAGGCGGTGTGGTGATGGTGTGGTGACACTGACACTGACACTGTCCCCATGTCCCCGTGTCACAGGCGGTGTGGTGATGGTGTGGTGCTGATGGTGACACTGTCCCTGTCCCCATGTCACAGGCGGTGTGGTGATGGTGTGGTGACACTGACCCTGTCCCTGTCCCCGTGTCACAGGCGGTGTGGTGACACTGACACTGACCCTGTCCCTGTCCCCGTGTCACAGGCGGTGTGGTGATCTTCGCTGTGAACTCGCTGCTGTACCTGAACCAGAGCGTGCCCCCGTACGGGGTGGCGCTCAACAGCCTCACCTGCGGCACCACCGTCTTCCCGCTGCGTAGGGACACCGCCCCGGCACTGTCCCTGACACTGTCCCCGTCCCTGTCCCATCCCTGGCACTGTCCCTGTCCCCATCCCTCTCCCCATCCCTGTTCCTGTCCAATCCCTGTCCTTGTTCCCATTCCTCACTGTTCTTGTTCCCATCCCTGTCCCTGTCACTGTCCTTGTCCCTGTCACTGTTCTTGTCCCCATCCCTGTCTCCCTGTCCCCTGTCCCCATCCCTGTCACTGGCCCTGTCCCTGGCACTGTCCCCATTCCTGTCACTGTTCTTGTCCCTGTCCCCCTGTCCTCTGTCCCCATTCCTGTCACTGTCCCTGTCACTGTCCCTGGCAGTGTCCCTGTTCCTGTCCCCGTCCCTCTCCAATCCCTGTGTCCCCTCTGTCCCTGTCCTATCCCCATCCCATCTCTGTCCCTGTCCCTGTCCCATCCCTGGCACTGTTCTTGTCCCCATCCTTGTCCTTGTCACTGTCCCATCCCCGTCCCTGTCCCTGTCCCATCCCTGTCCCTTGTCCCTGTCCCTATTCCCTCTCCCTGTCCCCACCCCTGTCCCTGTCCCATCCCTGTCCCATTCCCATTCCCTGTGTCCCCATCCCTGTCCCCTTCCCCATCCCTGTCCCCTTCCTGTCCCGTCCCTGTCCCGTCCCTGTCCCCATCCCTGTCCCCATCCCATCCCTGTCCACGTCCCTGTCTCATCCTTGTCCCCTATCCCTGTCCCCATCCCTGTTCCAATCACTGTCCCCATCCCTGTCCCCATCCCCGCTGTGACTGTCCCCATGCCTGACCCATCCCTGTCACTGTCCCTGCCCCCAGCCCTGTCTTTGTCCCTGTCCCATCCCTATCTCATCCCTGTCCCCATCCCTGTCCCTCTCCCCACCCTTGTCCCAGATCCTGTCCCTGTCCCCACCCCTGTTTGTGCTGATGCTGATCACGGACAGGAAGCGCTCTGTCCCTGGGACAATGGAGGGTCCCTGGGTTTTCTGGGGGTGTCCCCAAATATTTGGGGTGTCCCCAAGGGTTTTGGGGTGTCCCCAAGGGTTTGGGGTGTCTCCAAGGGTTTGGGGTGTCCTGTCACCCCCTCTTGAGGTGTCCCTTTGCTGTCCCAGCTCTGTGCTGACGCTGATCATGGACGGGGTGCATTCTGTCCTGTGGGACAATGGAGGGTCCCTGGTTTTTCTGGGGGTGTCCCCAAATATTTGGGGGTGTCCCCAAGGGTTTAGGGGTGTCCCCAAGGGTTTGGGGGTGTCTCCAAGGGTTTGGGGTGTCCTGTCACCCCCTCTTGAGGTGTCCCTTTGCTGTCCCAGCTCTGTGCTGACGCTGATCATGGACGGGGGGCATTCTGT